GGTGGGCGGGGAGGGGGGGGGGCCTGAGAGGCTCAGAGGGAGAGAGAACTGGGATTGATATGTAAAATAAGATTGTTTCTAAATAAAATTTAAAAATCTAGGGAAAAAATTAAGTGTTCTATCAAGAAGATATGGCACAACATTTAAAGTACAAATTGCTTGTATGTAATGACTGGAGTGTGGATCCCCAGATATCCAAGTGAGCATGGTGGCCCACTGTAATTCCAGCTTCCAATGAAGGGAGCAAGTGTACAGGCAGCAAGACTATACATAGCAGTAAGTTCTGAGTTTGACTGAGAGCTCCAGACTGGATGAATAAGGTGCAAGAACATGAAAAATAATTTCCTGACATCACACACATCACTGTGCACTAGTGAACCCATACACAGGTAAACCCTCAACACATGTGTACACACACATCACATCTCACTCACATGACACCTAGATCTGAACTCCAAATACTGTTAGCACCTCTCAACTGTCTGCGGTTACCCAAATTGTACCCCTCCAAGAATTATCACTACCATCATTTTGTCACAAGATTAATTCTGGTTTTGTCACCTTGATATCAATGAAATTATACAGTACATATGATTTTGTATCTGGATTCCTTTGATCAGTGTCATATGTGTGGAATGTTTCTGTGTTTCATGTAACAGAAGTTGATTCATGTTTATTATTTTCTAGTAATGTCTGCTCATTCTATTGTGGACACACATTTGAGTTGTTTCAATTCCAGGCATTATAATTAATGCCGGCATAATCGTTTGGGTACTCAGCACTTGGTGATTAAGTGTGCATAGGTGTCTGTGCCATGTGAAAGCAGAGTGGAATCATAAAGCTTTGTGTTAGGAGATGAACAGCAGACTTCCCAAAGACACTGCACAAGCTGCAGAGACTCCACTAGATCAACCACAACTTGGGCAGCTGTGCCTCTAATGTAGTCACTGCTTCCAGTATGCACTACAGTTTTCATTGTCTTCTCTAGCAGACCCAGGGAAGCTGCCTTGTCATGGATGGTAGGGATTTGGCTTTATTTTTTCTTGTGCATAAAATATATATTCCTTATTGCCTATGTTCTAACTGGTTGTCTTATCATTTACATATTTGTACAAACTGTATATTTTAGGTGTAATCACTCTGATAATTGTTTCTATGTGAAATGTTCTCTCACTCCTATCGAAATCTTTTAAGAACAATAAATTCTTAGTATGATGAAGACTTGCATTAAATGAAAAGACATTCCTAATCTGAATGCAATCTATGGTTAGCACTTTGGGCATCCTGTTTTTTAATTTTTGTCTGTCTTTCTTTCTTTCTTTCTTTCTTTCTTTCTTTCTTTCTTTCTTTCTTTTGAGACAGGGTTTCTCTGTGGCTTTAAAGGCTGTCCTGGAACTAGTCCTTGTAGACCAGGCTGGTCTCGAACTCACAGAGATCACTTGCCTCTGCCTCCCAAGTGCTGGGATCAAAGACATGAGCAGACAAAGCCCAGCCCTTTTAATATTTCTTATTCCTTAAAAGTTCCATACAATTATACTGATTACAGCCATCCACTTCTACCTCCCTCCAGTGCTCCCCACCCCCACTCTCTCCCAGCTCCATGTCCTCTGATTACTTTTTGTTATGAATAAATCTGAATCCAAACAGTACTACCAATATGCACATGGTGTGAGGCCATTTGTCCAGGGTATAAGCATCCTACAGCAGCCACGTCATCAAATGAGAATAAAGTTCCCTCCCTCAGTAGCAGTCAACTGCTAACAGCTCTTCTAATAAGAGTTAAATTAACAGAAAAGGGCACTGTAGTGACCAGTGGAGGAAGTATGATTATATTAGTAAGTAATATTGAATTATAAACCTAAAAACAGTGAAAATGATAACTTTTTCTCTTTTTTATTCATTTATTTTTCAGGTTCCAATCCCAGTTCCCTCTCCCTCTTTCTCTCCCACTCCCTCCACTCCCCCCTCCTCCCATCTGCTACACAGAGAGGGTAAGGCCTCCCCTAGGAAGTCTACTAAGTCTGTGCCATCATCTAGTTGAGGCAGGACCAAGGCACCTCTCCACCCCACACCCCTGTGTCTAGGCTGGACAAAGTATCTCTCACATAGAATGGGCTCCACTAAGTCAGTTTGTGCATTAGTGTTAGGTCTTGGACACACTGACAGTGGCCTCATATATTGTCCCAGTCACACCATTGTCACCTATATTAAGGGAGTCTAGTTTGGTCTTATGCAGGTTCCCCATTTGTCAGACCTGAGTCACTGATCTCTCACTACTGATTCTGTAGGTTTCCCCATCATGGTCTTGACTCCTTTGTTCATATTATCACTCCTCCCTCACTTTGACTGTACTCCAGGAGCTTGGCCCATTGATTAGTTGTGGATTTCTGCATCTGCTTCCATCTGTTTCTGGAAGAGGACTCAAGTTTCTCTGGGGGTATGAATTGTAGGATGGGTATCTTTTGCTTTATGTCTGGTATCCACTTATGAGTGAGTACATACTATATTTGTCTTTCTGGTTTTGGGTTACCTCACTTAGGATGTTTTTTTTTCTATTTCTGCCCATTTGCCTGTGAATAAAATGATAACTTATATACTTACTGTAATTAAAAAAATTAGTGTACATGTGGGTTTGTGGGAGTCAAATTTTCTTGGAGAAATGAAAGGAGAGGAATCTGGATATGTCAAATTAAAATAAAATTATTGTGAACATACTAGTTAGGGTTTCTATTGCTGTGAAGAGACATCACTGGCCACAGAAAATCTTATAAAGGAAAACATTTAATTGGGGCTGGCTTACAGTTTCAGGGGTTTAGTCTATTATCATCCTGGCAGATGGCAATGGTGCTGGAGAAGGAGCTGAGAGTTCTATATTTTGATCCACAGGTAGCAGAAGGAGTCTCTGTGCCACACTGGCCAAATGTGAGCTTGTAAGACCTCAAATCCCACCACCACAGTGACACACTTCCTCCAACCAGGCCCTACCTATTTCCAACAAGGTTGCAACCTCCTAATAGTGCCATTCCCTGTGGGCCACACATTCAAACACATGGGTCTACTGGGGCACACCCATTCAAATCACCACAGAGAACTTCAGAAAAATTATGAAAAGTTAATAAAGTATACATTTGGTTTATAAGTAAAGGTTTTCAGCACACATTAATTGAGGTATGTGTCATTCATAAATTATCTGACAGAAATTGTTTTTTCATGATTAAATATAAAAATATCATGAAATTAATTTCAATACAATATGAGATAGGAGTCAATTTCAGCATTTTTCTACATGAATATTAACCGATCCAACAGTATTTACTGTCCCCCGCCTCCCTTTCAGAAGCCACCTATGCAGTTAAGCCAAGTATCCATATGTGTGATTTGGTCTGGATCCTCAATTCTCTACTTAGTCACCATTAAAAATCAGCCGTCAGAACTATTAGCATAGCTTCACAATGCTTTTACTGCCCAACTCTTCCTTCAACTAGGTATGAGTTATTCCTGGTTCATGGTATTTATATACACTTCAGAATTGGCCTGACAATTTCTGTTTTTAAAAAACCTGGGATTACAACATTGAAATCTATATCATGATGGAATCTCCAACTTACAAGGATAGAATTTCTACTTATTTATTCATGTCTTCATTAAGGTCTTTCATAATAATGTTTTTAAGTCTTCTATGACGAAAGAAGAAGAAATGAGTGTTTTCTCATTTATGAAACTATGACTTAAATTGTTTTAACATCATAACTTTACATTTTTGGTGTGCTGTTAGCATATTAAAATTGATTTTTATATATTAAAATTACAATCAATAAGCTTACTCCATTTAATTTTTTTTGTTTGTTTTATTCTTTTGTTTTTTGAGATAGGGTTTCTCTGTGTAGCCTGGCTGTCCTAAATCTCACACTGTAGACCAGGCTGGCCTTGAACTCTATAATTTATTTCAGCAGCTCACTGGCACTGTTTTAGTTTTTCTGTATGTAGTCATGATATCTCTGAATAATTTTATTTCTTAATCTTCCTTTGTCTTATTGATTTTTCTTAATACAGTTCGTCAGTTCATTGGGAGTAAAATATATTACAGCAGAATCTTTCTGTCATTCCTAATCTTGGGTGAAAAATATTAAGTCTTTTATCACTGAGGTTTG